GTGCGCAATAACATACACATACATACTCAGTGAAATCGATGGAATACACCAAAAAGTGATGAAGTGTCAAGCCGCGAATAATGAAAACTATTAAATTCCTGAGAGATTAAAATCACAATCTTAAAGTGCCTAACTATCGACCCCGATTTTAAAGGCAAGGAGGGAAGGCACAAATCTCTAGAAGGATATACAATATATATGGAATTAAGTGTACAGCGCAGCCATAAGATTGTGAAGGTGCGGTTTCTAAATTTTTTTATTAGTAAACGAATACCTATGTAGAAATGTAAATACATATATACATGCTGACATGGATCTAACGAGTTAGTACCTTATTTACGTGATATCGCATACAAAACGAGCGGCGAGAAAATGAACGTCGTGGCAGTCACTGCCGTTGGCGTTGTGGTTTTAGCTAAAGTCCGTATAGTGAAGCTGACGACTACTTCAATGCATCAAACCCTGCTGTTACCGGGTCGTGCGTATGTGTATGTACATAGTACACACACATGCACAATTATGCATTCTTAATCTTTTTTTGTTTTTGTCTCATTCTATTTTTTATTTATGGGTATGTAAGGGGAAAGTGTCCATTACGCGGTTCAATTCCATGAATATGTTAAAAAGTTGTATTATCTCGAACAAACTTCAAGACCCATTGCTTACATGTATGGTAAGCTTTAGTAAATATTTTAATTAGTGGACCCTTGAGTTGCACTCAAATTCATCGTATGCCACTGAAGATACCTACATATGTACACCTTTGGCCAAGCAAACCGTACCACGCTTAAAAAAATTAGGTAGAATTTTATAAATTAATAAAAAAAAGATTTTTTTTTTAATGTACAAAGTTCACTCTGTAACAAAAACAACATAAATAATGGTTTCAAACTTTGAACAAATTTAAGAAAAATTCATCAAACTTTCATAAAAATTTTAATCTTTGTAGTTTTTTCCATGTAACGCATACTCGCATTTTTTGTATGGGCTATAAAACTAGATACACGAAATTTTCCTAAAAATTGTAATTAAAAAGTTTGATGAATTTTTCCAAATTTTTTACAAATTTTTAAACTTTTATTTAATAGTTTTTGGTACCACATTAAAAAAAAATATATTTTTTTATTAACTTACGAAATTCTACCAGGTTAAAAAAAGTCGGTGAAAAGGTTTGCACAACACATAAGTGTATGCACTATGTGGTGAGTGACATCTGTGCCCTCAGGTGGATTTTTAATCCATGCATCTACTTATCTACAAATGAATGGTAGCATTCCATACACGAATGTACTATGTATGCAACGTTGCCTATTAAAAATGTACATACTTACATATACAAATTGTATGTACATATTTATGTATGTACATACAAACATATCTATACATCTTAAATTGTTTAAGCCTCCATAAAATTCGTGTACCTACTGCCGCAGTAGTTGATAACTTGGAATTGCTTGCTGCTTAACTGGTATTGGCTTAGCACAAATGATACGTTGTCATCCTCGAGTGAGTAGCCGAAACAACCGTCCATCGAACGGTACCCAATGCAGAACAGTTAACCATGCAAAATAAATAATGGCGAAGAGTAAACTGGTTCCCCATCTTCAATATCTTCCAGAATTAGTTAGCCACAAACAACAACAAAATCGCAACACAAAAAAAAAAATAGAAAAACGGCCAATCCCCATTCCGCAAAATTATAGGGACTTTGTGACTTTTCTAGAATTTTGGCCACACATGTGCATACACATGTACATACATTAGGCATATGACTTTTCAACTTTTTTTGGAAAGATTAAATCTACGTGGCATCATGCAATTAGTTTTTATATAAAAAGCGCGAGTATGATCTTAATTTAAGAAAAGTTGTCTAAAACCCCCGCAGGAATCCTATCGAAAAGTTTGAACCCACTTATAATTATTATTATTTTTTTTTTTGTATAATTCTCATCAATATCGTAAGTAGCTCAAGGACGACCGTTTAAATGAAAAGTGTCGTATACAACTTGAATACGAAATACAATTAGCTTTATTTTAAGGGAAAGAAATTCACTAACCACGTCTGAAGGTAATTGCAATTTAGTGAATTGACATTTTTTTAAACCTGATAAAACCGGAGTTTAGCTATAGCTGTAAAACTTGTTCTACTTGCATTAAATTTGATTCCATATTCTGATTCAGGGTGAAACTTTACGTGTGAAATGATGGTTAATTGGCTAAAATCAGAAATAAGTTTTTTTGGAAAAAAAAATTGTTTAAATAAAATTTAGGTACTTTATTTTCTCCGGTATAACTCAAAAAATAGTAATCGCTCTTTATTGTATTTCATAAGGAATTTAATCAGCTACGTATCAGAAAATGTTCAGAAAAAAAACAAACAAAAAAACACGAAACCGGATAAAAAGAACTACCACAACAGGGCTGATTAACATACTCAAGTAATTTTTAAAATGTCAGAAAATTAGCGGCTGAATTAGTTGCCATAGTAACTACTATTATCGGACCTACAGCCGTGACTATACACTCGAGAGCTATTGCCATTTTAGCCTTTATTCTCTTGCCAAAGTTTAAAGCTCATTTGCTTCCAGTCTGTCAATTTCTGTACGGAGCATGGCAAAATGTTTTATTCTCTGACCACCGCTTGCATGAAAACTGTTTTGCGTTCGTTGAAAAATCTGTCCTTCAGTTTAGAAAGGCACACAACTGTTTTTTAAGACACTGGGTAAAGGAGGAATCCGCTATTGTTAACCAGCAAGCAAAGCCGCATACTTTGATGTTAAAATTAATGTATTTAAATTTATAATTTATACTAGCCTTTATTAATATACATTTAAAATTAATTGAAATAAATTTAATAAAACTGAAGTGGACTTCCTGCGGAATTTTTTATTTTTTTGTCGAATTGACCCAAAAACATTATTTTTGTTGTTTTTCGCAAAGAAAAGTCATATGCCTAATGTATATACTATGTATTTCTTAATGTTCAAATGGTGAACGCATATTTAAGTACATATGTACATATTGGTATGTACATACATACAGTGTTGGAAAAAATAATAGAAAAAATGCATTGAAAAATATTAAATCAATTATATCAACTCTGTGGTGTAGTGGTATGCAGTGCGCTTCCACTCCGCAGGGCCTGGGTGCAAGCCCTGGTCAAAGCAACATCGCAAAAACATGTAGAAAAAAGGTTTTTTCTTGACTGCGGTCGCCCCTCGGGAGGCAATGGCAAAAATCCGTGTGTATTTCTGCCATGGAAAATAGCTTCTCATAAAAATACAATCGCCGTTTGGAGTCGGTGCAAAAATGTACGTCCCTCCCCATTGTGTGACAACATCAAGGCACACGCGACAAATCAGAGGAGAGCTCGGCCAAATACTAACATATATGTAGGCGCCAATCTACTATTATTATTATTATTATTAGTTAAATATATTTCTTAGAATGGCGCACCCTGTGCAAATATCAGTTAGCGGTTGTTCTTTTGTCTCATTTTCACTTTATGTGCGAGAAAGTGAACAATTGAATAGTTGGAAAAAAATAGTAGAAACAAAACGTGTTTGTTGGTATTGTTGCTTTTCTAAAAGGTAAATTATTTTTTTTTGACGCTTCTAATTGCATTTAACTATAGGTTACTGAAACATAAAAAAGAATAAAATGGGCTGAGCTAAACACTGCACGGAATAGGAGAAGAATTGAATAATACGTTACAGAAAACAAGGAAATTCGATGAGTAAAATAGCAGATATGGTGTTCCAAAAAGAAGATGTTCACTGTCCTTCATAGCGTAAAAGAAAAACAGAAACACGACGTAGAAACCGAAAAATGACTGCTGGCGATCAAAGGCGCTTAATTCGACATTGCAAAGCTAACACTTTTCTATCCTCAAGAGAGCTGAAAACAGAATTGAATTTAGATGTAACAAGCCGAACCATTGGCAGAAGGAAAACTCCCAGCCTGAATCCCTAGTAGGGTACTATTGATGAGCCTTAAAAACAAAAAAAAAAAAACAGACTTGCTTTCGCCAGAAAACATCTTTTCCGTAAAAATTGGAAAAATGTGCTGTAGTCTGATGAGACGAAAATTAATATGTTTGGATCAGATGGAAACGCCCTACGAACACAGCCTTTGACCCACAATACACGAAAAAATACGGTTAAGCACAGCGGGGGTTCCATTATGGTATGGGGCTGCTTCCCGGAGGAAGGCGTTTGTCCAATATTTTGCATAAAGAATAAAATGTGCGCGATTGACTTTGTGAACATATTACAGAC